ATTTCTGATCTCCACCCTTCCCAGTGCGGGGGATTACAGCCCTGTAGCACACTTCTGGTTTATGTGGGGATGAAGCCCAGGAACTCGTGAGTACAAAGCAATCAGTTTATACCAACTGAGCTATAACCCTAGCCTCTGTCTATGTACGTGAGAGACAGAGAGACTCATTCTGTACCCAAGCTGGCTTTGAACTCATAATCTTCCTGCCTCAGCCTCTAGAATGATGAGATGCAGATGTGTGCCACCACAATCAGCTTTCAATACACTGCATGTGTGTTTGTACTTTCATTTTGGGGGCAGAGCGTGCATGTTTGTGCATGCTGTAGAGGCCAGAGATTAATTTTGTGTGTCTTTCTTTATCTCTACCTTTTTAAAGATGTGTGTGTATTGTGAAGGTGCCCATGGAGGTCAGAAAAGAGTATCAGGTCTAATGGAGCTGGGGTTACAGGCATTTGTGAGATACCGGACATGGGTGCTGGGTACGGAATTCCCACCCTCTACAAGGCCAGAAAGTGCTCTTATCACCTCAGCTATCTCTTTAGCCTCCTTTACCTTACTCTTCGAGGCAGGCTCTCTCACTGAATCTGGAGATTACCAATTTAGCTAGACTAGCAGTCAAGAAAGCCCTAGATATCCACTTGTGTCTGGGCCCCAGCACTGGGTTTATAGGTATGGGCCATGTGGAGTGTTAGGAACTCAGGAACTCCTGCGTGACTAAAGCCCCCTTCCCAGACCCGAATAATGTAGTGATTGCTCAAAGACAATATGGGTTCTCAACATTACATAAGCCAAGTCAAATTAATCCCATGACATTTTCTGACAGAGTTATCATTAAAGCAACATAGATTAAATACTGTGGTATTCACTCAACAGCATGTAACATTCAACATTTATTTAACAAACATGTACATGGGGCTATAACTTAGTATTTCCCTAGCACAGTCCTGGTTTGATTCCAGAACCAAACAGTGTTTAATACACTGTTAGGAACTTTGCATGGGATGGCTATCTGTCATGTCATCCACGGGAAGAGACCTATGAAGGAAGCATTCCCATTTCATAGGTGGGGTAGTTTAGTGCCCAACGGTCCTATAACTCACTCTAACTTCAAAGTCCTACTATTCTTTCCACCGTATCACACGACTTCCCGATAGAACCGGGTGCTGCTCAAACACAGTGTATTATCTACATCTGACAAGGATCTCATGACAAGTCTTGTGGGGCAAAGACTGAGGGAAAGAGTTAGGAGAGCATTGGTGCCGAAATAACTGTTGAGACTTCACTAAAGGACTTGTGTCTACCACATGTAGTAGCCCATAGAGGGAAAACTCCATTACTAGCTGATTCCCACTCATGGAGAAGAGGAGGGGGATCATGACTGCTATGACAAAAATCCAGTCCTAAGACAGTGCATGGCTAAAGAAACCTCCTCTGGCCATGCATCACCACATGGGGTGACAGCTCGGGACTAGCTACCAAGCTCTGTATATGCCCCCCCCTTCTTCCTTTTCTAAGTCTTTATGAACTGAAGAGAACAGTGAAGGTATTCTTTTTGTTTATTTTTGTGTTTTTGAGACAGGGTTTTTCTCTGTGTTGCCCTGGCTGTCCTGGAACTCACTCTGTAGACGAGGCTGGCCTCAAACTCACAGAGATCCATCTGCCTTTGCCTCCCAAGTGCTGTGATTAAAGGTGTGCACCACTACTACCCAGCTCAATGAAGGTATTCGTACCAAATCCTCAGGTGAGAAAATTTAAAAAGCAGGTAATCTAGACAGTAGGTTCCACATCTTATTCTTCTTCGTAGAACCCAATACAGAACACTGGCCTAAAAGGGCTGAAACTATGTTCTGGGGTGGGGTGGGAATTAAATCAAGACTTAAAGGATTCCTGACCATAGATGCAATGTGACCTGCTGCTTCCTCACATCCTGTCACCATGTCCCCTGCCATGACTGTACCATTAAACTCTGAACTAAAACTTTCCCATCCTTAAAAAACAGTAAAATAAAAATGGACAAGCTTTAAGGACTGTGCAAATCAAAGTCAACTTTGGTGCAAATTGAAGCCAACTTTTATCAGGTCAAGCACATTGGGGGTAAAAAAAGCTATATTACAAAGTCAACAAACAGAGAATCTGAAGGACACAGGCTTTTTTCCAGGCAATTAAGATAAAGATACTGAGCTGATGGCAAACCCAGTATTGATCAATGTCAGAATTACCCCAAAGGTTCCAGTCCCCCCCTATCTGTTCAGCCCAAGCCAGCCTAGAATCACAGCCATTTCTACAGCTCAAAGCATCTCAACGAAAAGGAGGCCATCACCAGGCACCAGGGTGGACACCTGTAATCTCAGCCACTCTGGAGACTGAGGCAGGAGGATCGGGAATTTCAGGTCAGTTTAAGCAACAATGGAAGATGTGTCAGAAAGAAAGAAAGGAAAAGAAAAGGAATAGTGAAGAGGATGGTTTTTAAATACCAGTAGAGATCCAATTCCAGGACTAGAGTTGTTTACCTAAGAGCAGGCAAGACCAGAGAGGTCATGATATCCATCTCTAACTACCTCAAGGAATGTCATATGAGACCAAGATTCAGAGGGCAGAAGTAAGACTAAAACAGGTTCTGGCTCTACCGAGAGAAAAACTTGTTTGGCATGAGACATAAAAGGACATGAACACCTCCAGGCATAGGAAGTTTTCAATCGTACCAGTTCTATTTTCCCTGCAAATGAACCCAGTGCCTTGTGCATGTTAGGCAAATATCTCCACTTAGCAGTGTGCCCAGCCTGGACCTTCAAGATGTGTAAAAGGGGGGTGGGGGCTTGGAGCAACACAGGACAGAACAGTGAACCACTAACTGTCTATGGCTCCTGCCAGTGCTGTAAAGTTCTTTTTTAAACATTTCTTGTACACTTTTCAAAACGCTTTAGTGTTTTGTAAACCAAGTACTTTAAAGGGTACTTTAACCGCTGTTCTTTAGACACAGAGTACTTGAAAGACAAGTGGTTTGTGACGTTACTCCTCGCCTATCTTTTGATGCACAAGCTCCTCCTTCTGAAATTAAAACAACACATCTTATAGATGACACCAGTCAGACAACTGTTAAGATGAGCTGAATTGCTCCCCACGAGGAAGGGATTAGAGTGTTGTTCCCTTGCGTTAGCATACAACAAAACCTTCAACTCTGTAATGAAATCCAGAATCTGTTCCCAATACGTTATATAAAAATATGAGCGGTGAGGCTATTGGCACGGAGACGGACCACAGCTTCACCTTTCCGGTGTCCTTCATTGACACTGGCCTCTTTCATAGTTCAAAATCTTCCGTCACTTTTAGCTCTCAGGCTTTCTTAGAAATATAGAATCGAAGTACAATTTTTTGTTTATCTTTGTGACAGGGACTCACTGGAGAACTCTAACTGGCCTGGAACTTGTTAAGCAGACCCTCACGGAGATTTGCTTGTTCTGCCACCTGAGTGCTGGGATTAAAGATGTGTGTCACAACACCGGACTCCAAAGAGCAAATTTTAGGTTAAAGAGCTAAATTATTTTTTCAATTAAGATTTCAAATGTAGTAATTTCTATTTTCTCCGACACTGAGAAAAAGGAAAGTGTAAAATGAAGTGTTTGTCAATCTCCACAGGCAGGCAGGGCACCACAACTGCTCAAAATCTAAAGCCAGGCCCGAGCATGGGCTCCACGGTATCACTAACGTGGGCAGTATCACCTGCCATTCCCCTCTTCAGAAGTTAGGCTCTATATAGAATAGAAAATAGAGGAGTAAAAATAAAACATGGAATCAGAAGCAGGGCATCTTTGTAAACTCTGCACTCGGTAGTTTAATAATAGCCGCCAACAGCAAACGTCACACCCATCAGACTATGCATTCGTGTTCCAGCACACTTCACAGTGACTAAGATCTATTGTATCAGCTGGAGCAGTAATAACAGAGTCTTTACCCCATCTCAGGTCCTAGGTGCTTGTCCATATCGACCCTGGCAACCCCGTGTGCTCTACGATCATTATGGCTATTGTAGCAGGAGAAACCTAGGGATACACAGGTTAGGCAATTTACCCAAGATGAGAGTATGGCTTTAGAGATAAATGGAGGTGAGATGTGAACTCACAGGCTCAAACTCAAGTCCACTAGCCTTATCAGCCTCTGGACAATCTGATCAAACCAGACTAATAAATAAATTCCTTCTAATACGTGCAAACTGATTTTTTTTTTTTTTTAAGAGAAACGGGAGACCCTAGCTCCGTCTATGGCCTGGTTTCACTGTCAATTACACTGGAACACTCTTCCAATGTAACTGTAGAAGAAAGCCAGCCTTTTAGGTCAGTGCTTTGGGTGTTAGTTTGAAGACCAATCGCTGGCCAATACACAACATGATGTTTCAAGGTGCGGAGATGAAACCTCCCAGAACAAGTGACCCACAGGCCAGACTCAAGAAGGCTGCAATGAAACTGCGTAACCGGCACCAGCAAGCGGTCGTTTCCAAATACCCTTCCAGCGAAGGGTAGGGTTTTTTGGGGTTTTTTTGTTTGTTTTTTTTTTTTTACAACCACTCCATTTACTTGAAAACAGGACAAAATGGAACTTGCATAAACACTTAGTCATCAGGACGCGCTGAAGTTACAAACCACCTCGTTCGCAAATTCGAATCGGCGGCTAAGTTCCTACTTCTCCGGGAAAGAAAAAGGGCTGACACTCAAGACCGGGGAGTGAAAACACCTGGTGCCCCAGCGGAAGCGCCGCGGAGGGGAAAACGAGCCCACAGGCCGGGACTCCCCGACCTGCATAGCCTCCGCCGGGAACTGGGGGACTTTTCCGGGTCCTTCCCCTCCCTTTTCCTTCCCTCGGTCGCTCTTGACATCTACACGCTGCCCGGACCCCGCGTGTCCCCAAGGCCATCGGGGGAGGCAATGGGAAGGCGGGGTGACAGGCCAGAGGCAGAGGAGAGCGGCGGGCGCAGGTCCCCAGCCCGGCTCCCCCGGGGTCTGCACCTGCAGGGTGGTGATGTGCTTGTCGTTGAACTTGTTCTCGCAGTAGCGCAGCACCAGCGACGTCTTCCCCACGCAGCCTTCCCCGAGCAGCACCACCTTGAAGGAGTAGGCTCGGCCCGCCGCCGCCCCGCCGCCGGCCGCAGCCATCCCGCCGCTGCCCCGCCGCCCGAGCCCAGCGCCGCGCCGAGCCCCGCACCGCCTCCGCCGCGGCGCCCGCTCCGCCCGGGGCCCGGCTCTTCACGCGCCCGCCGAGCCCGGTGCCCGCCGCGTCCTCCGCGGCCGAGACCCGAGAGGCCCGAGAGAAAGTCCCAGAATGAAGGGCCCCGGCCACCACGTCAGGCACCCGAGGCTAGGGGAGCGCTGCCTCTCCTCCCTCTAATGGCGTCTCCTTCCTCCTACGTCACACTCCGCGTCACGTGGCCGCGGTGGGCGGAGCCGGCGGCGGGCGAGCCCGGGCCTGTTCCGGTGTCCGCCGCGCTGGGCTCGGTGCTCCGGACGGCCGGCGGTGGGCAGGAGCTGAGCTCTAGGAAGCAGATCCCGCTCCGGTGGGATAGGATGCAGGACGAGGTCGCCTGGCCCCAGGAATGGTCACAAAACGAACAACCTTCCCAGCAGGGGTCATCAGAAGCCAGGTCCGGCCAAGGTGCCCTTGAGTCTCTTTCTTTGGGACCTCAAATCCGGGCTATTGAACGTGTCAATTGTCCACACGGCCGGGACCTGTGCTCATCTTCCAGGTCTCAAACCGGAAAGGCTTCCCTGACTACCCAGGCCTTCCCACATCCTTCCATTCCCTCCTACTTACTTCCCCACTAAGATATTTCCTAACAATGCTGTGCCGTCTTTATAAATGCTTACCACGCTCGCTGGAATTCCGATTAGCCTGTAGGTTTAAGGGCAAGCATTGCGGAAGACTTAACCTACCTCAGTTCCCATCCCTAAAAGCCAGGCTTAAGAATGAATGATATTTCGTAAGCCATTAAGCCCTGCCTCCCCAGTATTTCTGTCTAATATGCTGAGTCCATTCTGATGGGTCTGGTTTATTTGATGATTGCTTTTTTTATTTCATGGGCCTCCGCTTTATTTCATGAAATATACTTTCCTAAGAAAGCAACCCGAAACTTTGCAATTTGGTGTCATTTAAGACAAACTTTTGTTTTACTTCATCAGACTTATTTTACACTTCAACTTAAAAAAATAAAAGGTAGGCCGGGCAGTAGTGGCGCATACCTTTAATCCCAGCACTCCGGAGAGGCAGAGACAGGCAGATCTCTGTGAGTTCGAAGCCAGCGTGGTCTCCAGAACTAGTTCCAGGACAGCCAAGGCACAATGAAATCCTGTCTCAAAAAACAAAACGTAAGTAAGTATATAAATAAATAAAAGACAACTATTCCTTCATTCGAGGAGTATGTGAACACAGTTCCTACTTGCCTTTCTCTGCATTGCATGAGATATAAAGTATGTTTCCGTCCTAGGCTTTTTTCTAAGGAAATGAGATAAGACATGGACAATTATACAGTGAATACTGTTAGCTCGAAGCTGTTCAGAACATTTTGCAAACATACATGGGAAGCTAACTGAGTTAGCATGCTAGAAAAGCTTGGAGCAAGTTGGCCTTTGCTAGGAGTATCTTAGGGAAAGAGGGGGGGAGAGAGAAAGGGAGGGAGGGAGAGAGGGAGAAAGGGGGAAGGGAGGGGGAGAGAGGAAGAGAGAGAGAGAGAGGCTGAAACAAGGAAGAAGGACCTAATGTTGATCGCCTGGAGTGTGACAAGAATTCAGACAAGAAACCCGAGTCAGGAACATCCTCTGAAGTTCAAGCCAACCTGTTTTGTACTGCGAGTTCCAAGCTAGTTGGAGTTACATAGCAAGATTCTGTTTAATCATAATAATTAGACAGGAAAAGAACTTATGATGAGACTTGCAAGGAATGGAGGGGACAATTCAAAAACAGCCTTTCATTGGTACAAAATGTTATCAGGTCTTTCCTCTTATAAAATTACTGTGGCTATGATTAGAAAAATGGAGAAGGATAAAAATCACTATATCTGTCTAAAATCAACTATATACAAGATTGTCCTAAGAATTATTTTCATAAATGTATCTGAGATTATATTATCTACCTTACTCCTTGTGCTGGCTGTATCAGCTGGACACACACTAGAGTTATCTGAAAAGAGCAAACCTTACTTGAGACAAGGCCTCCATAAGATTTGGCTGTAGAGGATGTGATTGATGGGGGAGGGCTCAGCTCACCGTGGGTGGTACCATCCTTGAGCAAGTGGTCCTGCTGTATAAAAAAAGCAAGTTGGGCTGGAGAGATGGCTCAGAGGTTAAGAGAACTGACTGCTGTTTCAGAGGTCCTGAGTTCAATTCCCAGCTACCCATGAGGACTCACACCCATCTATAATGAGATCTGATGCATAATAAATAAATTTTAAAAAAAAAAGTAGGCTAAGGAAGCCATGTTGAGCAAGCCACTAGGCAACACCCTTCCATGGCCTCTGCATCAGTTCCTGCCCCTAGGCTCCTACCATGTTTGAGTTCCTGTCCTGACTTCCTATGTAAGCCAAATAAACCCTTTCCTCCCCAATTTGCTTTTTGGTTGAAGTGTTTCATTCCAGCAACTGAAACCCTAACACTTCTTTATTGCCACCCACAAGCTCTTTATACAATCATTTCCAGAATTATAAAGGAAAACAACAACTTTGTTTGGAAGAGACTCTGCAGTCCATTCTCAATTATTCCTCATAATGTGCACATGCCTTGTTCCTTATACATGCATTATCCTCATGTATTAAACCCAAACTTGTCTCCAGCATGACTGTCTAAGGACCTTGATTGTTGAAATTGGATGAGACACTAGGGCTGCGGAGTCAGGTAGCTATTGTTTCTTCTTTGGGGAAGGAGAATTGTCGATGACTTTTGTACAACTTTGATTCACCCATTCACCATTGAAAATATATTTATCTGGATGTTACTATCTGCCAATGACTATATTATGAGTGTGACTCGAGTAGATAGGTCTCTGTCGTCATGGAGATCAATAAGTGGGAGCCACAGATGATTAAATAGCTACAATAAAGTACAGTAAATGAGGCTATAGATCATATACATGTAAGTCTACAGTATCATAGTAGCATTCCAGGCAAACATATATCAGATAAAAGGAACACACCTCTTTATCCTCAATTTTCTTACCATTTCAGCAGCATGGACTTGCTCATCACATGATCTACCAACTTCAGAGTCATCAATACCTTGTCCTCTTCTCCTGCTTCCTCGGCTGCTTCCTTTTCAACCTCTAAATGTTGAGACTTGGGTCTCAGGTCTTCACTAAGTGGCTTTCCCCGGTGATTCAAAACACTCCCGTGGCTTACTATATTCTCTGCAGGTTCATAACATCTACGTTTATGTCTTACCCCTGAAGTCACTCCTAAGCACCAGATGGATGTCAGGCACTGGCCAGCTATTGAGTAGACATTCCAAACATATGTTTAAAATGCACCTCCAGCAGGGCGGTGGTGGCGCACGCCTTTAATCCCAGCACTCGGGAGGCAGAGGCAGGCAGATCTCTGAGTTCGACACTAGCCTGGTCTACAAGAGCTATAGGGCCAGATAGCCCAAGGTCATGGGCAGACTGAATATCCACTACAGTTCGTCCCAGGTTTTTTCTTGTCTTAGTAGCAGTTCCATTGTAAGTGCATTTACTAAAGATAAAATGCAGCCAATGTCTTTTGTGAGATCAAACCAAGGTTTGCACATGCTAAGAAACTTCTATATGACTGCGCTTAAGTGCCAACCCCTTTGGCAAATTCTATATGTTGCCCAAACATGTCCACCTCTCCTGCTTTATCTTCCTCTGTTACATATGAAACAAAAAACACTTGAATTCATATTTTTAGAATTACAGAAACAATTTGTATTTCAGAGAGAGAGAACAGATGAGATATGCCTAGAGATGGGTCAGTAGCTTAACTGCATGTTTCCCAAGTGTGAGGACCAGGGTTTAGGATCCCAGAATCCCTTGTAAATGCTTGTTGGGGATAGTGGCCTGCCTGTAATTCCAGTATAGGAAGGTAGAGACAAGATTCCTCAGAACAAGCCATCTTGCAAAACTAGCCATATCTGTGAGCTCCAGACATGAGAGACCTGCCTCAGTGAACAAAGTAGAGGAGCAATGGAGGATGGTTCCTGGCATTCGTGAACAACACACAGGAACATGGAAAAAGAGGTCACACAAGGATGGTATGTAAGTGAGGGGTTCAGAGGGCCTAGGATAGAGCCCTTGAAAACATTGACTTTTTAGAAATAGGCAGAGGATGAGGAGCTGTGAAGAAGGGTCCAATAATGACCAAAGGAAAGCTAAAAGTTAGTTATGTCTGCCATGAGGACCAGCCTCCAGCAGGTCATAACTTGGGGAGGAGCCTACAGAGTTGATGGACTATCAATCCACTTGATTTTTCTAACCAAGTGAATAAAACTTAATTCTCTGGAGCCAGTGAAAAAGGGAAAATGCTTCTCTCTCTCTCTCTCCCTCTCTCTCTCTCTCTCTCTCTCTCCCTCTCCCTCTCCCTCCCCCTCTCTCTCTCTCTCTCTCTCTCCCTCCCCCTTTCTCTCTGTCTTCCTCTGCTTTCTTTATTTCTTTTCTTACCTCTATCCAGATGTATCCCTCTATCTCTCTTGATGCCTCCCTTCTACGTCTTCCCTGGTGTTTTCCTTCCTGCATGCTTTTGTTTTTCCCATATAGCTTAGTATGATAGCATATAGATCCCAGTAGAATCTTTCAAGCAATATAAAAATTACAGTATGCGATGGTGGCGCATGCCTTTAATCCCAGCACTCGGGAGGCAGAGACAGGCGGATCTCTGTGAGTTCGAGACCAGCCTGGTCTACAGAGCTAGTTCCAGGACAGGCTCCAAAGCCACAGAGAAACCCTGTCTCGAAAAAACCAAAAAAAAAAAAAAATTACAGTATGATTACATTCTATTTTTCCAGTGGATGATTACAATGAATACAAGTAAAAAAAAAAACCAGCATGTTTTTAATACATGAATAAGTCCTTTACATGATTAAGCATTTTACATATTACAGGCGAAAAGCAAATGATTCCTAAGAATCCATGTAAATCCATAGCCTAGCACCTTGTTAGAGATTAACAAAGTGTAAGCAAACAAGGTATTCTTCTCAGTCAGGTCTTTTCCTGGCAGGCTGCATTTTGCTGTTACAAAGAAGGGAACAATCATTTTATTATTTATCTCAAATTAAATAATAAGAAATCTTAGACGAATCACAAACCTAAACTTTTATAGATGAAAGAGAACTAGTCGGCTCTATTTTAAATCCTCAGGGTGCATACCCACTCATCAACAGTATTTTTAATTTTTATTTTTTAATACTAGGAAGCTGAAGGCAGAA